AGGGAAAGATGAAGAATGCATCATTTCATATGATGGTTCAGTCAGTGTTGTCTGGGGAGAGGGAGACTTGATTTAGTTCTAGTTTACATGTCTGGAGTTTCTTGCCAGCTATTAGTATCATGAAATAACAACACTATCATTCAATTGCTTTTCTATCTAATTTTGATAAGATAGATGTGTGGAGCTCCAAGTCTCATTTCTGCTGCTGTCTATGTATCTTCCGAATTTTCTGTATTATTCACATGAATGTGTACAGCAAAGTGTTGGTTATTTCAGTACATGTGTTGCACACAGAGTGCAGATTGCTGCCTTTTGCTGCTGCTCACGAATGCTGCTGTTCGTCCAGCCAGAGGCCTCTGGCTGGTTTTAGGGAGCTTGCAGTGTGTTCTGTGCCCACTATGCCCTAGTGTTGCCAGTTCCAGACGCCTGTGCAGGTGCTCAGCTCTCCTGGAGTTCAGACTCCACAGCCTTTTAAGATCTTAAGGGGATTAGTTCAATTGTATGTGAAGTTTGCCATGCACAGCTGAAAATTGCTGACTTCGGAAGCTGTGTCAAAATTAAAACTGGATTTGTTTTTCTTAGTTCTGTCATTTATAAAAACCTCATAACTGTCTAATAAGCCGCTACTTAGTGGAAAGAATTACATTAAAATTGGTTAGTGTCGTATTTGTCCAAAGCATGATTTGTGTTTTATTCCTGCTTTTCCTATGCTGCTTGCTGAGCCGGAAGGTCGGTTGCAGGTTACGTACCGGTCGCTGCTCTCCTGATGGAGCCCTGGGAACTTCTTGTGTAGGCTTGGAGAGAGTACAAGGCAGGAGGGCTTAGCACTTGCAGCACATGTTGCTGTACTGGCAAGTCAGCTCTCTTAGGGTTTAAGGCTTTCCTTCCTCTTGAATATTGTGAAGAGCCTTCCTTCTGTCACCACTTATTCTGATAGTTTGGTAAATTTATAGTCTCTTTCTGCTGTTAAAGCAAGCTTTTATCCTGCAAGGTGATAGGTTGTAAAGTTGTATTATGATTGATAGGTGGTTTTCATTAAACTGTGTGTAGATATTGAAGAAATAAGCCTTTTCTCCAGGTGCAGAACTAACGCCAAAGAACAGCCCAAGGAAGAATACCAGTTTTCGTAACAGGATGCTAAGCCAAGTTTGCGGGTTCTTGACCTAAAGCTCTGTTGTGGCTAGGAGGACTCTAGCACAGTGCTGGACTGAAATACCCCTCTGTCTTGCTGGGTGTGAGATCCAAGAAGGCACTAATGTAAAAACCACAACTGTGACAGGTTTTGTATTTCCACCTCCTGTTAAAACCAGTACTTCTGTGGGAAATTGTGGAAACCATACAATGGTAAAAACACTACATTTTGTTCTTTCATATCTTCACAAAAGAATCTGTACCAGTTGGCTTTCCTAGGGTCAGGTTTGCTTCTCTACAGTCATTTCAAAATGCAAAAAACAGGAATTTTGTCAGATGAGCTCAACGAAGGAATAGGTGGATGTTCCTTATGCTGCATCCATTACCCAAAGGGGTATTTGAAAATGCAACTTGTCTTGTAGAGTCCAGTGTTCCTGTATATTTCATCAGACTTGCAGGTCAACTTCTGAGAGTAAGCTTCATCATGAGTTAAAATTTGTATTAGTGCTGTCATACCATTATCTGAACAGATATCTAGTTCCTGTCAGATTTCATCACACTATTGAATGTATGTTGTGAAACTTCATGTAAATATATTCTCCAAGAAACAGAAAGATATAGGCAGAGTTTCTGATCCTGTGGGAAAATTTCCTCCCAAGGACAAGAACTTGAAGGGTTCTACACCTGACAGAGGAACCCCAGTTATTTTCTGTCTTGTCTGTAGATGGAATATAAGACCATTGCATCCTTGCAAGTAAATCTACCAGTTTGCACCTCATCTTCCTCCTATTTTTTTAAAGATGTGTCGTCGAACCTCAGTATTATGACAATTAAGATTAATTAAATCAGCCAATTGTGATGCAAGTGAAAAGAGCTAGTGGAATTTTGAAATTGTTTTCAGCAACCCAGCAGTCAAATGCATATTTACAGTTTGCTTTTACAGTTACCACCCTGATTGACTCTTATAAATTAAATAATCATGAAATTATAAGACCAGGTTCTAACTTGAGCCATTTGGGTTAAATTAATAATTAAGCATAGCAAAGAAAGTTAAACTTATATTCATGCGGAATTATGTAACTGCAGTGCTGAAAAGGACACATTCTGCACTGTTTTCCAGCAGAGGTTTTGACAGCACAAAATCATATAACTTATTAAAGCATGTCTTAAAGATCTATAGTAATTTGAGGAATCAAAGTTTATTCTATCCTGGTGTGCTACGGATACTTAGTAATTGAGCTTTATAACAGCTTAGAGTGTCTTTATAGCTTTAAACCCTGTAAAATCTTCTCTACCTTCCCACCCAACTTTCTTGCTCTTGAACATCCCAGTAACTGCATACCCACTTCTAGGATGAGAGCCTTGAAGTAGGTGAGATCATGAGAAGAAAAACGGGTAATGGGCTTTATGTACAACTAACCGTAAAGAGCACCTTATGTCTGCTGGTTCAAGAGACTCCCATGCACCCTTCTCTGTAGCAGTATAAATCTTTTTTTGTGTCCTCTGTGTGCCTGCATGCCTGAGCAATAGCTGAGTGAGCTATTTCTGGGTTGAACTCTCCAGATGATCTATCTCCACGTCAGACTCTGTGTTCCATCAGAAACTGCAGTTCTGTCTGTTCTGTTAGTTTCTGGCAGTGCTTTGTGCATAAAACACTTCATGTCTGTTTTTATTTTGATTGCTTCTTCTGTTTGCTACCTTTCTATATTTTTATACCGAAGGGTTTTTTTTCCTTTATCTACTCAGCAC